ATGCATTTCAATTGCTACTTAAACTCTAGAATGATTTATGAAATCTCACAGAAATGTAGAGCTTTGTTTGTTTGGCTGTGTTTTTGACACCAAAATGAAGTTCACCAAATTGCAGGATAATGTCAGCTTTCATCTCTCTCCTCTGGTACTAGAGGAACTATGTGGGGTACACCGGCCTGTCTCACAAAGATGGTGGCGATGGTATACTGATATTTTCTTTTCCATGTGCAGAAGGAGGCAAAGTTTATGCAGCTGGAGGAAATAATGAAGGACAGCTAGGACTTGGTGACACTGAAGAGAGAAACACTTTTCATCTAGTTAGTTTTTTTACATCCCAGCATAAGATTAAACAACTTTCTGCTGGATCTAATACTTCAGCTGTACTGACTGGTAAGATTTTTTTCCATTTCAAACTGGGACACATCTCTTTTTTTTTGAGACTAGGATATACCAAGTCAGTAAATTGAAAACAGCAGTGCTGTTTAATTTTCCCTATTGACCCTGTGTTTTTAGAAGACATTAAAAATAGAACTTAAAATCATGACATATATTATAATTTCATGCTTACATACATTTAGAAGGTAATTGTTAAATAAGTTCTAAGCTATGCTATCCATCTGCTCCTTTAGATATTCTTTTTAAACCCCCAAATACTTCATTGAGGTGAAATTTGCATAACATAAAATTCACAATTTCAAAGTGAACAATTCTGTTGCATTTAGTACATTAACAGTATTAGGCAACCACTACCTCTATCCAGTTTCAAAACATTTTCATCACTCTAAAGTAAACCCCTTAGTCAGTAACCAGTTTCTCCCCATTCCCCCACCCCCCCAGCTCCCAGCCACCACCAATCAAATTTCTTTTTCTATGAATTTATCTACTCTGGATAGTTCATACAAATGGAATCACACAATATGTGACCTTTTGTGTCTATATTTATTTTTTTTCCAGATTTCAGCTTAATTTATTCAGCAATAACTCTCATTTACCCATGTCTTTTTTTTTTGCAAGACAAAATCTTTATTCCATTTTTAACCATTACCAATAGGCATTAACAAAATTAAAAAAAAAATTTGACAACTTTATTGTGGTATAATTTCTGCACAGTAAACTACACATATTTCAGATGTACAATTTGATGGATTTTGATAGATGTATACACTAGATATTCTTAAATATTATCTTCATTGTATGTTCTGAAAGTTACACTTCAGCTTTAATGAAGTTGCTGTCAGAAACATCATAGAAATCTGTTGGATATATGTTATTAAAATGCAGTCTGTAATGTCATTGCATCTCTCTGCCCTCCCTATCAAAATCCTGTATGAGAAATTTCTTTAACTTTTGGAGCCGAGATAAACGAGTCTCACTGAAGCAGCTGCTGGTGCGCGCTCTTTTCCCGTCCTGGGAGCTGTGTGACGGACGCTGTTGCTCTGGCTGTCAGGAGCGCCAGCGCTGTGCCTGCAGCTCCATCCCTTCGTTCTGCCAGCCGCGCAGTTGGCATTTTGACCTCCTCCTTTTGGTTCTTATTTTTTTATGTTCCTTTTATTTGCCTTATTATTAAACCACTTCAAAGCTTTAAATGTCTTAAATTAATTAAAAGATGCAAGTAAATAAGTCTTGATAATTCCTTTCTAAAATATTTCCCTTAGTTTTTTCTCTGACATTGCAACCCTTATCAGAAAGCACGTTTAAGTTAACCTGTTTTTGAGATGCTATGTATGCTAACGCATTTCCTTGTTCTCTGAAGTTAGATTATTTATTTTCAAGTATCAATTGTAAAGTTAAAAAGTTAGTGAAATACATTTATTTAATGTTTTTCTTCCTTTACAGCATCATTCCCACAGTGTTCTCAGAGCAAGGACTTCCAGGCCATTTTGACCTGGGACTTGCGCAGGATAAGTCCAGTGTGACTCGTGCAGACATTCAGTTAGGTTGCTGGTAGACAGCTCGAAAGGAGGAAACCATTTTCTGTTTAGAGACATTCGAATAGGGAAAGGTTATTATAGAAAAGGACATTCTGTCTTTGCTATTGAGATAAAAATATGGACATGTCTAAAGTGATTTACATCAGGTTATTCCCTATCCTTTATCATTTTGTAAACATTTCATAACAGTAGCTAGCTGGTGTAAATGTCAGGTAGTACTTTTCTTTAAAGACACATAATTTTTCTAAATTAAAAAATAAATGCTTTGTTGGAAATATAGTAACTTGCTATCCCTGCTACCTCTGAAAACCCTTTTTCCTCTTTGTGTTTTCTTTATAGAGGATGGAGAGCTTTTTATGTGGGGTGACAATTCTGAAGGGCAAATTGGTTTAAATAATATAACTAATGTATGTGTCCCTCATCAAGTGACCGTTGGAAAGCCTATCTCCTGGATCTCCTGTGGCTATTACCATTCAGCTTTTATAACAAGTAAGACAGAGCAGTTTGGATTTATCATGTTATCTCCCATTTCTAACTTATTACTAAATAAGTAGTAAAATGCCATAACATTCTACAGTTCTATAGAAATATTCGCATGGTAATCCATGTAATAATATAATTTTGGTCTGTTTTAGGTCACAATATTTCTTCATTTCAATAATGAGTGTTTATAATTTCAAACTCTATCTGACATGTTAACTTTTTTTAGTGAATAAAGGTCTGTATCCTCCAGAGAGGTCCAGTATGTGCTTCCTAGTCCTTCCTCTTCCAAGGCCACACAGGACATGTTTTCTCTTTGGCAGTGAATTACAGGGATGTATGTGTGATGTCTCTGCCCAGGGACACTCACATTATTCTCGGAGTCTGAGGCTTTTTTGTGGGTGACTGGTCTTGTTGGCACATCCTGCCAGCAGCTAGTCATGGCAACTGCAACTCCGGGCCCTCAGCGGTGAAACCAGGTGTACATCATCAGTGTTGACGTTTGTGCAAAGCTACCATTTCTTAGCGTCTTGCTAAGCTGGCGTCATTTATTTCTCCAGGTGTACATAACAAAATCATCAATCACCAACACAGAGAACACTCCCAAGGGCCACATTCCCAGGGACTGACCAAAAGTCAGTCAGCCGTGGTTCTCTTGGAGACATGCAAATAATAAACAAGACGTGCTGTGTTACCTCTTTCCTCACACCAGTGGTGATATGTTCTGTGTCATTCTTTAGGTTAGAACATGTATTTACAAGTTTTTAAATTCCTGCTCTGTAGAACTCAGTTCAGTTCATAGAAATGAATAAAAAAGTTCCTGCTTTCAAGAAGCTCATAGTCATAGCACAGTGTGGTAAGTGTGATTACAGAAACAAGTCAATAGTATTAGTATGGACAAGGCAGTAATTAAATGTCACGAGTTCCTTAATAAGAGAGTCTTTCTGGGAGAAGTACCATCTAAGTAACTAATTGAGTAAAATCTGCTATCTTTAGGCTTACTCACCATATTTACTTCACACGTAAATGAGTTTTCTAAAATAAGTTTCATAAAAAGCAATTATTCATTTATTCAACAAGTATTCGTTAAATGTTTAATGTACTAGACACACTGCTAGGTTCTTGCAATACCGTAGTGAGCAAGACAAAATCCATGTCCTCATGGGGGTTTAATGTCTACTCATTTTGCTTTATTAAAAGTAAGAAGAAGTAAGATCACCTTTACATATTGTGAAACAGGTAAAATAATTCTCTAGTTGTTTATCAGTAGTGATGGTCATGAAATCTTCATGAAGATTTTGGATTAAAATAATCAAGGAGAAAGGAAAATCTAGCTTTATTTCCTTACCATTCAGTAAAAATATCTCCAGAAAGGTCAAATTTATTAAATTGAGATTTTCTAAATGTTTTATTGAAAGTGAGAACATATCCCAAAAAGATGAGTATTTCGTTCATGTCTATGTCATCACTGATCACTGTACTTTTCCTTGAATAGCGGAGGGAGAACTGTACACCTTTGGAGAAGCTGAATGCGGGAAGTTAGGCCTTCCGCCAGAACTGCTGGTCAATCACAAAGTGCCTCAGCTGGTGCCTGGAATTCCTGAGAAGGTGATCCAAGTCGCTTGTGGTGGAGGGCACACAGTTGTTCTCACAGGTATGTGTGGACGCTGCCACTCTGTCCCCTACTTTCTGTGGTGGCTCATGAAAAACTTTTTTACATTCATTTATTTTTATTGTGGTAATAACACTTAACATCTGATCTACTCTCTTCACAAATTTTTAAGTTACAGTATTATAATACAGTATTGTTGTCTATAGGCACGATGTTGTATGGCAGGTCTCCAGAAATTTCAGCTTCGCATAGCTGAAATCCTATGCCCATTCATTAGCAGCTCCCCTCTCCCCCTACCCCAGTCCCTGGCAACCACCATTCTAGTCTCTGCTTCTATGAGTTTGACTATTTTAGGTACTTCGTGCAAGTTGCCTTTGCATTTTTTTCCATTAAGATCCCCACCTTTTGTTCCTGTAGTTAATAAACTTTTCTGGCCTATGGGAAAACTTTTTAAGTAGAAAAAAATGAATCTTGTTGAATTGTTTTTGCTAACATAATCGACATTTTCATGATCTTAACACTTTAATGGCAAAAAATAACATTTTTAGCTCATTTCCAAGAATACATTGTTTTCCTCATATATGTGTTTTCCATATTTATTTAAAATTGACACTTTTTTCTGAAATACCTTCATTTGGAGAAGCTCTTGTTAATGCTATTTTCTACTTGTAATTGATAATTCTATTTTTTTGTCCACATTCATTTTTTTAATTTATTTATCTTATGTGGGGGAGGGAGGTAATTAGGTTTGTTTGTTTGTTTGTTTATTTTTAGAGGAGGTGCTAGAGATTGATCCCAGGACCTCCTGCATGCTAAGCATGCGCTCTACCATTTGAGCTATACCTTCCCCCGATAATTCTTTTTTGTGTGTGATATTCACAATGTCTAACTTGGTGATTTCTTTCTGATTTTTACATACTGTTATAGTAATTAAAGAGTGTTGAGATTTTAAATTATAGATAATAAAAAAACTTAGAACTTTAATGGTAATGTCACTTTTGGCTTCTGAATTTTGTATTTGGTATGACATATGACTTCTCAGGATTGTACATTAAAATATACTTACTACTTGATAATAAGCTTACAAAATTGATGCTCCCAAATTTGTTCAGCATTAGACTCATCTTGGATAAGTAGTATAAGAGGTAATGCAGTTAGGTAGTGAATGATTGTAATATTTTTTGGTCGAAAAGAAACAGTTTCTGAAGTCACCACTTAATCTTCAGTAACACAAAGCTAGAAGTGTTCTAGACAAATTTTAAAATCTAATTCTCAGATGATAATGCTTAAATGTTGCAAGGTAATTAAGCAATGTTTTATCTTTAGGTTTTCCTCTTGCATCACTTTTCCTTGACTTCCTATTCTAGTCCTAGTTATGCTTCTAAAGCTATAGTTTCCCAGAATTACAATTTCCAGATGGAATCTTTTCAAAGTTTGAAATAATTTTTTTCAAGGTCTCCATTCTACATTTGGAAATAATTCTGAGGTTTAAGTTTTTTTTAAACTTCTGCTGATAAAATGAATTTTCATATAATTTCTGAAAGATTTATTCTAGGAATTAAACTTTAAAATTAATCTTTATAAATTATCTGAAAATTCATCCATAGGCAGAAATGCAACTTATTCTTCATGTGCTATGTATCTTCTCTAGTTTATACAAAGATTGTAGAAAGAATTAATTTATTAGGTGATTGAAGAATATTCTGAAGGACACAAATGTTGATTATGTAATAATAGTGTCATTCAACCATACATTATAAAATACTTTCAAAAATATTTTACCAAGATAATTCATGATTCTTTTAATTATACTTAAAATTTAAAATGCACCAAAGTATGATATTTTTGTGCAGTATTATAGACATTCAGCTTCCTGTGGACTTTGCTTTGAAATTAAACACCATATTGCCAGAAATTGATTGTTTTCTCTAGATTTTGCAGACTTTGGGATCTCATAGACCAGTAAAGTTGTTTTTTTTTTTTTGAAAGTATTCATTTGCTTTCAGAAAGAAAGATTCTTTTTTTTTTTTTTGAGGCACAGTCGATTTACAATGTGTCAATTTCTGGTGTACAACAAAAGTTTTTATATTTTAAGTTTTAATTTTGTAAAAAGAATATGAGAACCTACAGATGGTCGCCAACTTCCATTTTTGCATTTAGCTAAATGTGGACATTGCAAGAAAAATGCCATCTGTTTTTACCATTATATAAAATAAGGGACATTTTCAAAGTGAAAATTAAAAGCTTTTAATTTTATAATAAAAGACATCCCCTTAAGTTGTATAAATTTATCTGTATGGAAAATACACCATTTTACCTATTTTTCCAATTTCTCCATGGACCTTTGAAAGCCAATCCTGGTAAGAAACCTGTGTTCTGGAGCAGCATAGACAGAAATGATAAATATTTAATCCTAACCGATGAAGAAATGGGCATGAAGAGTGTATTGCTCATCAGTTTGACTAAGTTCTAAATTAAACACCTAAGAGTTATAGAATAATTTGCAAGACCTTAAAGCAAAGAATAGCTAGCCATCTGTTCTAGATCATTCCTTTCACTAAAGGAAAGAGCTTGATTAGATGATTCTATGGTGGCCCTCGCAGCTTTGTTTTTCCTTAAACTCTGATCTTAAAATCTATTTAGGTATCATTTAGTAAAATACTTTAAAGATCATTTAAATTAGTTTACTGCTGGTAAATATATTTAAGATACGATATTTAGATGTGACTGTGATAGGTCAGACAATGCGACTACTGCTTATAGCGACAGGGGAAACGATGGATTTCTATTAAGAAAGTGTTAGACTGGGACTGGCATGCACTAAGTGAGGCCGAGTGATAGGTATAACCTTGTATGTCATCCACAGCAGTTACCAAAAGACAAGAAAGGCCTGGGTATTAGATTGGGTCCACAATGAAGTCTGGACTCAAGGAAAAGAAGAACTTTGCCAGATTATGTTTAGACAAATTTAAGATCTCTACGGGGCTACACAAGTAACTATTTGTGAAATGAAGTGTATTCTGTGAAATTAGAGTAATATTTATCTGAAGCCAACTAATAAAATCTGTTTTCCTAATACCAAATTATTTATTAGCCCTGAATTGCATTGTTACAAATGTTATAAAGGTGATATGACTAATAATTATATTGGTTTTTGTATGTGATGTCCTTAGATAAAAGTCTTAGGTCATTTAAAAATAGTAGAAATGATTGTCATTGCTAGGCATCCAAGCACATGAAAGGGAACCTAACGGGATAAGGAGCAAAACTTTTGTAATGTGATTCAGGCTGCCTGAAAAGCCTAATGTCACAGGCTGATATCAGGGAGCCCAAGAAACTTAGAGTAATTGTTGGCCAGCTAGAGATACTAAGCTGAACATTCAGAACTGGAGATATGCTATGTGAGTATTAATTAAACTAAGAGATGATGTTTTTTCCACTAAAATAAAGATCTGTTTGCCCTTGCCTCAGTGTGGCTTTGTATCCTTGACACATTGTATTTTCTTCAAGAAGTAATATGTATATGTCTTATTTATGAAGTAAATATTCTTATTAGACAGAAAAAATGTAAAACTATATGACAATAGTTATGTGTTCATCAATATCCTCCGTGTCAGAATAAGATGAATTAATTAGATAATTACTTTTTAGAAAAATGTCCTTTTACAACTGAATGTCCTATTGTGTTTTAAAACCTTCTTGAATGTTTTCTCATTTAATCCTCACAGCAACTTTATTAAACAGGGATTACAGCATCAGAGAATTTAAGTAGTTTGTCTACTTGCCACAGCTAGTAATGATGAAGGTTTGGGCTGTTGCCTGAATCCGAAGCTCTTGCTCCTACATCAGGAGAGGCAACGTGTTACACTGTGGAGAAGCGGACTAATGCAGTGAACACTGTGCTTCCTAAGGCGGGAGCCAGCCAGAGTTGTATCTAAAAGGACACGTTCATCACCGTTCGTTTATCCTGTTTATGTGCTTTTCTGTCTCTCAAGAGTATATGAGCTAATATTTACTAAGTAATTGGAGTTCCTTTGGAATCACTTTAAAAATGTTAACATAGAGGAAAACCTTTTCCCCTCTTTTCATTATTACTGCATTTCCTAGTAAAGGAGCTTTTCCTGTAAATAAATCTAGCATATCTACTGTAAGTTTTAATTCTCATGCAAATTCTCCTCTGAAATTGCTTTATAAAATAGGTTATTCCATTAAACTACTGTTAAAAAATAAGGAGTCTTTCTGTAGGAAGCACTATTCATTTTTTTACTTAAGGCAGTGAAAGGAATTAGCTTAATGACAATTGATACTTTTTAATGAGTTGAGTGGTAATTATAGGGGCATTTTAGGTAGTTCACCAAATGACTTTTGTGTCTTTAGCGATTCCTTTTGTGGTTATATGTAAAGGATAAAATCAGGCCCATACCACAATTGTTATGATTGTGTACCTTGTCATTTTTCTCTCTCTTCATCACTGAGTAATGTATGCTTAAGTATTAGGTATTCCTATATGAGTATTTCTTTCAGAGGCACTTAACCTTCATTATAAAATAGGGTGGACTATCACCATCTTTCTAGATATAATGGTGACTGTGTCTGTACCCCTGAAATCCTTTTCTTGTATTTGCCCCTTCCCTTTCAGAGAATGCCGTGTACTCCTTTGGGCTGGGACAGTTTGGTCAACTGGGTCTTGGCACTTTTATTTTTGAAACTTCAGAACCCAGAATCATTGATGATATTAAGGATCAGAAAATAAGTCATATTTCCTGTGGAGAAAATCACACAGCTTTGATAACAGGTACAGATCAGAATTTCTATTATATACTTATAGAACTCAGTATATTTTATTGCAAAATAAATACTATATGGAGTGAATGTATCTAACGTAAGCAAAGGAGTTAATAACTAAGAAAATGGAATTCTTTGTTTAATATGCCAGTGTATAAAGTTGTGAACTACTTTTTAATATTTTAATTCGATTGAAAATCAGTATAAATGATCCAAAGAATTACAGCCTCAAAATACGTCAGTGCTGTCGGAGGTAAGACCATAGTATTATACTTTGGCAGAAAGCTGGAATCTTTTTGAAATTGTATCAACTTGAAGGCTCTCAACTCTGCTCAGGCCAAAGGGAAAGGCCTTCTAAGAAAGAACTTATTTTAAAACAGTCTCCCTGTGTACATTCAGTCTGATAGCTACAGTCAGTCTGAGTAAATTCTTATGATGCTTTTGCCACCAGGAGGCATTTTCAGAAGTAACTCTTTCCTGTTTTCTCCATAGTGGTAGGGAGAAAGGCACCTCAAAAACCATTAGGTAAATTCTTGGGCCCTCTAGATCTTCTGCTCTGTAGTTTCTCCTTTATCCAGGGAGATGCTGCTTTGGGCCTACTTCTCAACTTCTGAATCTGGGTGCTGCCAATGTAGGACTCAATAAAGGTGTATCCTTAAAATGACAGACTCACCTGTCACTAATTAATATACTCCACAATTTTAATTGCTTTGGATCAAAAGGCTCTATAATTTCTCTGTTTCTACCTCATGTTTCTATCTAAAAATGAAATATTAAAAAGTCATAAAGCATGTAGTATTTTAAAATGATCTGGGTACTGGTATTGCTGCATTTTTTCCCTTCTTTTACAAAAGTTTCCGCTATGATGGAGCTCATCTAATGGGGTCTGGTTAGGGGAACTAGGAATCAGCAAATATAAGGTACAAGCATGTACTATCCCTTCTTCCCCAAGGAACCTTTCAGAGAGAACTACCTGCCCATTTTCAAGTATCAAGTGTTCTTGTTAATGTAGCATGAAATGGAACTATATAGAATGTAAAGAATTATTATTCATTCATAGCCCCAGAAGAGCTGTTGATACATATGCCTTACTTCAGGGTTTTAAGCTCAGTTTCTCTGTCCTTACTGCCATTTTCATCAACTCCACATTGCCACTGGTGGTAAATACTTTTTATGGATCATCTAACATACAATGAGGTAATTTGGTTAAACTTTCATAATACCTTTCCTCCTGATGAAAGAAGTCATAGCACAAATAATTGAACATTAACTTTGTTTGACATTTTTGCTCATGAATTCTCCCCAGGGGACGGGTGTTAGGAATTTTTTTTTTCTCCAGGACTAACGAGAGGTAAATGATGAGTTATCTGTAAGTTCTTGCTAGTTCCCCATTAAGACTAGTGGCTCATGTTTTAAAAAGGTCTCTGAGGTTGGAAGTATGATCAGGCGGCTTGATCAGAGTTTTTTTCCTCTGGCCAAAGATAATCAAGTTTAAAAAAAAACCTTTTTAATATTTTGGATAAAGAGATCAGGGTCAAAAACAGGTGGAGGAAAGCAAAAAGATGATAAGGTGTATATATAAAGAAAGGAAATAAATACCTAATCGTAATTATAGCAGTCTAAATTTAGAGTCTAAATGCTGCTTATTGTTTATTTATGAATCTGTTTGCTTTTGTATTTTAAGTTTTGAACTTGCCACTTTACTAAATTATGTTATTATTTCTAACCATTTTTCAGGCAGGTCTTTTGGATTTTCTTAGTATATAGTTACTTTGCCGTCTTAAACTACAAGCTCCCAAATGTGATTTTGTCATTTCCCAGCTTAAAACTCTTCATTTTTTAGCTCACTATTGTTCTTAAGATAGAGTTGAAAAATTCTTTTTTTTTAATTTTAAAATAATTTTATTAAATACATCTTCTTTTAATTTGCCTATTAATTTGCTAGGGCACAATTGTGTTTTAAAAACATGTAAATAAGAATTGTATAATTTTTTTTACATTTTTTATTGAGTAATAGTTATTTTACAATGTTGTGTCAAATTCTAGTGTAGAGCTCAATTTTTCAGTCATACATGAACATATATATATTCATTGTCACTTTTTTTTCACTATGAGCTACCACAAGATCTTGTATATTTATCCCTGTGCTATACAGTATAATCTTGTTTATCTATTCTGCATTTTAAAATCCCAGTCTGTCCCTTTCCACCCCCCCGCCCCCTTGGCAAGCACAAGTTTGTATTCTATGTCTATGAGTCTGTTTCTGTTTTGTATTTATGTTTTTGTTTTTTCTTTTAAGATTCCTCATGTAAGCAATCTCATATGGTATTCTTCTTTCTCTTTCTGGCTTACTTCACCTAGAATGACATTCTCCAGGAGCATCCATGTTGCTGCAAATGGTGTTATGTTGTTGGTTTTTGTGGCTGAACAGTATTCCATTGCAAAAACATACCATATCCTCTTTATTCAGTCATCTGTTGATGGACATCTAGGCTCCTCATGTCCTGGCCATTGCATACAGTGCTGCCATGAACATTGGGGTGCAGGTGTCACCTTGAAGTAGGGTTCCTTCCGGATATGTGCCCAGGAGTGGGACTTCTGGGTCATATGGCAAGTCCATTCCCAGTCCTTTGAGGAATCTCCAGACTGTTTTCCACAGTGACTTTCCTTGCTTCCCTCTCCCACTCTTAATGATTTAGTTGTCTTCCTTTACAATTTTGTGTTTATTCTTTTTGTAATTCATGGCAGTTATCTCCTTTCCAGTTATGAATTTCTCATTTTTGTAGCATCCTGCTTCTTTTCTATTTAGAGTAGACCTGTGAATATTTCTTTTAG